GAGAGAGAGAGAGAGAGAGAGAGAGAGAGAGAGAGAGAGAGAGAGAGAGAGAGAGAAGCCATTGCCAGTGCGAACATGATGTTCACTGAACGGTTTCTTGAGCGGATTGTTGGATGTTGCTCAGGAAGGCAAGGCACTTAATTCTACATGACCTTTTTCTGGTTTCATCGACTATTCTGGGGGTGATGGTTCAATTCTGATTTGCTGTGGTGTTGCAATCGAGTGTGATCTCACCGCAATCAAGTGTGTAATTAAAATGATGTGTGGAACTACTTGAGATTCTTGAAATTCGTAACACTAACAATGGAAGAAGGGGAAGAAGCATGAGTTGGAAGAAGGGGAAGAAGCATGAGGAGCAGACCGGATGGTGGCACACGTGGTGGCAGTGGGAAAGTGCAGTGGTGTGTCCACCAACCTCCTTTGGCAAAGGCTCTCCAAACATTACAACCGAGTTGAGCAGCTCCGCTCCACAACCGTCCTGCTCGCAAAGGCGTCCTGTTCTATGGTCTGAATACCCAGTCATTGTACCATCGACAGATTCCAAGCCAAACCTGTTGTCATTCAAGTCATTCACAGTGGAAGACACCACCGAGCGCTGTCTCTGTTTCCTCCCTCCTTTCGCCCTCCCTCTTCTCCGCGCTGTCCACCAAAGCACATAATGAAATCAAAATGCAACCAGACAGAAGACAACCTCACACCTATCAGAAACCAGTGCATTGTATAGATCAGATATAAACATCGCAGATGCATCATTTACACCACCTTCAACCATTTCCAAGGAAAAGCGCAAAACACAGCGAAAGCAAAAGTACAGACACATTGAGCCCACATGCACCCCTGTACATAAGTACAGTGACACCAGCAAAAACAGGAAAGGGCCTACACAGAGAATTTGGTTTGCTTTGTGAGAGGCCCCAAGGCTCCAAGGCTGTGCACCCTGAAGTCTAGGCCCCAAATCGAGGCCCCGACCGAGCTGCCTACCTTGCCTGGGAGGGACTGCGCCAATGGGCTCTCTACCCGGGCATAGGGCACAAAAGTCCAAGCCGCAGCAAGTGGGGTACAATCTGTCAGGCTGCTTGCTGGCAGAGGACGGTGGCATTCTGCGCTCGCTGCATAGCAACCTCACACACAACAGCACAGAATGCTCAGACTCTCCAGCAGT